AAAGACTGTTCGGAAGGGAGGTGGGCTGGGACTTTAGAGACCTTACCCTTGGATGGTATCCTTATTTGGATGAATTCAACACCATTCTGTGTCTTTCCTTAGGCACTCACTTGAGACCCCTGCCCCATTATAGACTTATAGTATCAGAAATCTGATTTTCTTAAATCCCAAAACGGATTCATCTCTCAAGAATGACTTCAAATTAAATAAGCTTTCAAAGTCTGATGTATAAATCAAGACTTATGTTTTACTTTAAAATAAGAATTATAAAGGCCAAAAATATTTTTAACAAGTTATTTTCCTGCAAAAATAGATGAGAGGTCAAGTTATAATTAGAAAGACGTTTAGTGAGTATGAGAGCCAAATAAATTGGGTGAATTTGTTTCATTTTAATATTTTATGGCATTAGGTTAAGAAAGTCTGATGCATCATTTCCCACAAATATGAGATGCTATTGGGGCCAGGTAGCTCTTGTCTCTGGGTCAAAACTCTCTCTCTCCTGAACAGTTAGAACAGTACTATTGGCTTTTACCTTAGTAATATAATTTTTATATCATTTCTGGGACGAGAGAAACAATGTCATTTTAGGAACCAATCAAAACTTTTCAGGAATTGGAGTATTGTTTTTGAAGTGAAGTCACATATATCTAATCCTTTGGGTGTAGATTTCAGAATTTAATGCTTTTCTATATTCATGAAGTTTTGAATATATCCCACCCTACAGCACTCACTATAATAATTTATAACCTGTGAAGAACAGTAACATGGAAGGAACAACTTCAGAGTTACTGTTCTTCACAGGTTATAGATTATTAAGTGCAGAACCACATCTGAAATGATCCTTGGATTGCTATTAAATGCCAGATACGGTTTAGAGTCTTTAATAAACAATTAACACATGTAAGTTTTCTTGTTTTTGTTTTTAACCACCTTGGTAGTTATGGTAATAAATAAGTATCTTATTAAGTATTGATAAGAGGTTATGGGAGGTATTAGTTCTTTGATCATCAGGTGACATTTGAAATTGTATTGTAATTAATCAAAACAAGAACCTCAATTTTGGACTGCCTTAATGCTCTACTGTCTGACTCAATATATGTTTCATATGATTGATTAATATAAACATGTTAAACAGCCTAATAATCAATTGTAAGGTCATTAAACGCCCTGGAGATTGATACTATTTTATTGCCAAATGGATAAACTGCCCCATTTAAACTGAACCATCCATCCTTTGATCCAACAGCCAGCAAGGCAAGATACAATATGAAGTCTCTATCAGTATTAAAAGCAGTGAATTTCACTAAAAATGTACTTTTGCTGAGTCAAAAAAAAGAGTAATGTTAATCATACTACCAAAACCCTTTATTGATTTCTCTATGGGATAAAAAGTCCAAGAAATTAAGAAAACTCAGTGTTCAAAAAATTATGACAGTATTTTTCTGACTTGGTTGTTTTTCAATTACTATTTTTCTCAACAGCATAATAAATGTCCCAATAATATTACTTAGAAAGTGAATAAACATTCCCAGCTCAATGGCAATTTGTGCTTAACTAAGTTCAGAAATATGATTGAGCAAGAATAAATGCTTTATTTTGGATCATAAACATGACTATTTCTATCTCTAGATCTAATATGCTAATGATATGAATAAATAATAAATGTATGAGTTTTCGGCATGTTAAATAAATTAACACTACTTTAAACCAATATTGCTTAAATAGTCTCAAAATTACTGGCATATTGAAATAGGTTATGGAGTATTTTCACCAAGAAGAATGTGAGGAATTAATTTAGAAGCATTAAAGGTAAACGGAATATCCTGAATTTTCCAGTATAAAGACACAGTGCAGGAAGTGGCCAGAATGTTAATGGGTCTATTCCACAAAGTAGTCATTGCAAGATCCTTTCTAGGAAAGTTTTCACAATAGAGTCATATTACTGTTTGGGAAGAGGAGAATGGTAGTTTATATGAATTCCCTAGACCTTCTGTATTTGCTGTTGGTTCTTTATTAATAAAATTTTCATTATGTCAGAAAGCTTGAGAAACCTTTAAAAAATAGCTGCCATTGACTCACCTACATAGGGAGCAAACAGAGAACTACCATAAGAATCTGACACTGCAGAAAGATATTGTTTTAGTTTCCTAGGGCAACCAGGACAAGATACTGTACCACACACTTGGTTGCTTAAAACAATTGAAAGTTATTCTCTCACCATTCTAGAGCCCAGAAACCCAAAACCATAGTGTCCACAGGGCCAGGTGCCTCTGACGGCTGAAGGACAGATCCTTCCTTGCCCCTTCCTGTCATCCAGTATTTCTGCAATCTTTGGCGTTCTTGGGTGTGTAGAGAGAATACTCCAGTTTCTGACTGTGTTCATTTGATTTTTTTTCTCTCCTCTTATAGGGACCCTGGACACAAGATTAAGGTCAAAGGAGCCCATTTTAATTTGATTACATCTTCTAAGATCGTATTTCCAAACAAAATCATGATTGCAGACTGTAAGGGGTGTTTAGAACTTTACCATATCTTTTCAGGGGACGCAATACAACCCATAACGCCCTCTATTCACACTTCACCTCAGGTGTGGTTTTTTCTCTTCCATTATTCTGGATTGTTGAGAGCCACAGCCCAAGGGGCCCCAGCAAACTTCCAGCTGCCAGCTGATGATTGGCTCACAGCGGCCCCAGCAACATCTAGCTGATTGGCTCCTCTGCGGTGATGCTCATTGGGCTGGTTCCCTGCCCTTTCAGACCACGTCTCATTGGGGGACTTTTTTGGCTCCACCCACACGACCAAGCCAATCGGCCTCAAGAGCAGGAGGATTGTGGGAGGTGGAGAGGCGTGTGGTTGTGAGAGAGGCTTGTGGGAAGCCAGTGGTGGCAGTTGGGCTCTGAGGGTTTTTCCTGAGGAGCTGTTTTGTTTGGCGTGTGTGGTTCTAAAAATAAAGTTCGTTTCTTTTGACAAGTGGCTCCTTAATTGTGCCCAGCCAGACTGCGGCACTGGATGAATTGTGCTTTGCTCCAAACTAAACCCTCAACACTCCACTTATACACTAAATCCCAACCTCTCTGATCTCAATGACATCTCTACAAAAAATTTTCTTCTCTGTTATGTATTACATGCTTTTCTCTCTTTACTAAACCATCATCAGTGACATAGGAATGTATGAAATTTCTTTCATCTTAAAAACAATCAGACATAAAAAATAAAACTCTTACATCGCCTCACATCTCCCTTTTGCTAATATTCAATTTATTTGCTCTCTCTTGCGGCAGGACTCCACAAATGAGTTTTTCATACTTCCTGTATCTAATTCTTTCCTTCTTATGCTTTCTACCACTACTTCACTAAAATTGATCTTGCCAAGGATGACAATGACATTTATGTTGCTGAATTCAATGGATGACTTAGTTTCCTTTTTAAGTAAAATGATTTTAATGGCTGGGACAAAATCTTAGAAACATATGCTAGAGGTCATGAAAATAGCATTTTCTTTAGAGAAACTTTTGACATTTAAAAAACAAAAGTACGATAAAACTTTTAAGGTATCAGTAAAGACTAAATCAATTTGGAAATAAAAAATGTTTCAAATGCTTTAGATATATCTAAAAGGAAGAAAATTTGGAAGTCAGTGTTGAGTCTCCATGAATTATGTATAGTTTTAGCATTCCTTTAATGAATATTTCAGCCAAAGATTATGGTACTTCAAAACAATGAATCATGTTCAAAATGTAAGCTCTTGTCATAACTGCAGTGCTGCAGCTCTTCTAAGGAAAGCGATACAAGCACCCTCTGTCCCCCTGAAGCCTGAAGCCTGCAGTCATATCTTAGAGAAAGTCATTATAAAGCAACCTGTTCTGTCTTGGATCTCCTTAATGTTGCTTTCTGTGGAGTTTAAACATGACTCCATTTCCCATAAAGTTCAGCGTTAAGTAGTGCATTAAGTATATTTGGCAGGGATAAGGTTGTAGTTTTCTTGGGGTTTGTATGAGATGTCTGTTAGAGGTGGTAATTGGACCAAAACTGTGTATAAAGTACACTCTGTAAGGAGGGTGGGACCCACTTTTCAAAAACCCCTTTATTTTGAAGTCAATATTATTTGCCACTCAGTGTTTTTGCAACAGTCATGGTTTCTAACTTTTATTTGTTCCTATAATTTGGGATCTGTCTATTGGCAAGAGCTTAGTGAAACCTGAAATTTGGCATTTGAGTGCTTGTAATTTTGTGCACACTTCTATCTCTTCAAATGAACCAATGATTTGTTTGGGATTATCTCTCCCAGGCTGGGATGATGTGAGCTATTTAAGAGGAAGGTTATGACTTACTCACTTCTATGATCTCATTTTATTTTTCTATGTCTGAGATATTGCAAGCACTCAAATGTTTGAAAAAAAGAAAACCACTGGCTTAAAAACACAGTTCATTATAAAACTTATGAAAATTTAAAATATGATTTTGAGAGCTTAGTCCCTGCTTTTGAGTCACACTTTTCTGTTTCAATGTGTCTTTTTTATGCATGTCAAGAGTTAATTTAGATAGCTTTTAAAACTAGAGAATAATGGATATTGACATATCCATTACTGAATAATTGAAATAAATTAGTGGTCTGGAATTGTGTGTAATTGTCAAGATTTCTACTCCAGTGCAAAATGTATGTGTTAATATTTCTTCTATGTGAAAATATTCTTTCATTTTTCCCTAGACGATTGCTTTGTTAAGAATTTATTGCATTTATGATTATTCCATTTGTGCTGCTATAACAGGATACCACAGACTGGGTAGGAAATTTATAATGAACCAAAATTTATTTTTCATAGTTATGGAAGTGGAGAATCCAAGGTGAAGGCACTGGCGTTTGATCTGATGTATTAGCTTTCTGTGACTATAACAAATATCTGGGATTGTCAACTTTTAAAGAGAAAGGTTTATTTGGGATTAGTTTTGGAGCTTCCAGTTCATGAATAAGTAGATGCATTGCTTATTTTATACCTCAGGTGGGAAGCAGCATATTATGCAGAAGTGTGCAGTGGAATAAATTCACTCCATTCATATCTGGAAAGAGTAAAAGACAAGGAGGAAAGTAGCAGGCTCCCACAAGTCCCTTCCTTGGCACAACCCTAATGATCTGAAGACATTCACCAGGCTCCACCTCTGCAAGTTTTCGCCACCTCAAGGCTGAACAGGTACTAAGTCTTGGACACATGGAGGGCATTCCACATCCCAACCATAGCATCTGCTGAGGACCGTCTTGTCGCATTCTCACATGGCAGAAGGCAGAAGGGAAAGCTGGCTAATGGCTGAGTGAGGCTGCTTTTAGAAGGGCTTTAATCCCACTGAAGAAGTTGTGGGACCCTGTCACCCATTGAAGGCCTTGCCTTGTTATGCTGTCACATTGGCTATACCCAAATTTGGAAGGAACGGATCACACTGCACCACTGTGACAGTAGGTTCCAGTCTTGTCATATTTAGAGAACTCAACCACACCCATCTGGGTATTTGGGGATCTCTTCTTATGGAAATGCTTTCCAATTTCTTGTTTGTACTGCAGATTGCCTTTTAAAACTTTTGCTTATATAACATGCGATCTTGTTAATTATTTGAATTTAGTTTTTCAGAGCATTTTTTTTGACAATATCCTGAGGAATTATTTTATTTCACAATTTGGTTCTAAAACAATCTCATAATGAAAATTTTCTTAGTATTAGTCTCAGTAAAATTCAAAGCAAATAATTAGATCATCACTAATTTTTACATCATTTTCTTTAGTACTATATTAATCAAGGTCTTTTACTGACAGCCTCCTTGATTTGTAGCCTTATTGGTAGAAAGAAACAAAATCATGCTTTATTTGACTTTGAAGCCCCTTTGGCACATTCAATTTAATCTTTATTTGCACAGTCTTTTCATGAGCATTCTCTATAAATATAATAAAGAAAATAGTTTGGAGGTTTTTTTTGGAGACTTTGACAGTTTGCTGTACTGAGTTTTGATGGAGCCTATAAGCTTTCTGATGAGGTATATAATGTATAATTCTTATTTCTAATTTATTTCTTTAAAAATCTTCAGTTTCCTTGAAAAGTACTCATTTTAACATGCATATTTTAAACTTCAATTTGATACTGCTACATTTTTAATTTTTTATATAACAATAGAGGGATAAATTTCGTTTCAAACATTTCTTTTCCTTGATAGAAAACTGGATTTACGTGTTCAATCATCGCCTCACAGCTTTTGAGTTAGTGGGCTTTCTGTTGCTATGACAAATAACTGGGATAATAAATCTGTAAAGAGGACTAGTTTACTTTGGTGGTTCCAATCCATGGTCAATTTGCCCTGTTGTTTTTGGGCCTGTGATAGGGAGTGCATGGTGGAACAAAGCTGCTCCTCTCATGGCTGGGGTATGAAAAAAAGGGAGGAAGTCACCAGAGTCCCAATATCCCCTCCAAATGCACATCCCCAAAGACCAGAGCACCTCCCACTAAGCCCTATCTCAAAGTTTCCACCACTTCCCAATAGCTTCACCCGGGGGAACCAAGTCTTTAACACATAGGTTGGGGGAGCCTTGAAGATCCACACTCTAATGGATTTTGTGTATGCTATTGAAAATGTGAACAGTTATATTTCCTTTACTCTATGTTCGAAACATATCTTCCCCTGCAATAGATATTTGTTCCATTTAGTATCCTCTCACTGTAGTTCCTGGAGACCTGGTGCCCTACAATGACATTCAAACCTTTGCCTGGCCAAAGGAACCTTATCTCTGAAGACCAGGGATTTCTCTCATTAAGGTTCACATCTGAGGACCACTCTGGACACTTCACACAGGAGCAGAATCATTACTACCACTTACTAAGCACTCACCAATGCCAGATAATGTGTAGTTGTATCATAAACGTTCTTTGATTAAATTCTCACAAAAATCTGATGGAATTGGTAACCTCATGTGCCCTTTATAATGAGGACGCTGAAATTAGACAGTTTGAGTAACTTGACTTTGATCCATAGTGAGTAGATGAGGTGGGGATTTAAACTCAGGCTGGGGGCTTCTGGAATCTCTGCCTTACACTGTGTGGCTGGCACATCATTTATTTTTACTGTACCAGTGTGGTGGGTTGATTGACATCTACTACATTCTCTAGTTGTCTCTCACTGCCATTTTATGCTATAGTTATTTGCAATTTAAAAAAATTATAGTAGTACATCCCAGTGATTTAAATATGGGAAATTGCCTCTTATCCATCAATTCTGCATGCCTTCCAACATGATCATGATGATATTTAGAATAATGATTGAATAAAATACGTGAGGGAAGAAGGCCACCAGGGAATTTAGCAATGTCTTACATGAATTTGCATTTTACTCATAGTAATTTTATATATACACTTTTAACTGCAGAACTGCAGATCTATTATAATTACTGTAATTTTAGAACATTTCATGTGATATGACCTTTAATTTCTAATATCAGAGTTTCATATTATCTTGCTTCCTTATGTCATTCCCTTAGAGCAATAAATCCTACCTCAATATTCTGTTTTATCTTATCTAAATAATCTAAAATAGCCAAGTGTGTATATGTGTGTATATACACATATACATACATATATGAATATAAGCATAGCCATATATATGTATACACACAGGCACATACAAACATTCAGATATACATTAGGGAGAGTAACACCCTATCCCAAGATGTCTACCTCCCAATCGATGTCCCCTGTGAATATGTTATGCTTCTAGGCAAGGAGAATTAAATTTGCACAGTAATTACAGTTGCTAATTATCCGACCTTTAAATAGGGAGATGATTTCGAGTTTCTAGGTGAGTCCAATGTAATGACTATGATATTTAAGGAGAAAGAGGAGGGACATGAAGGAGACCTGAGAATAAAACAAAGGTCAATCAGAATGATGTGGTTCTGGCTTCGAAGATGGAAAAAGTGCCCCAAAGCCGATGAATGCACATAAACTTGAAAAGCTAGAAAAGTCAATTATTTCTCTCCTAGTGCCTCCAGAAAGAATATACCTCGGTCAACAACTCGATTTTAGCCCAGTGAGAATATTTCATACTTCTGACCTCTAGAACCATAAATTAATAGATTTATATTTTAAGTCATTAAGTTGTGGTAGTTTGTTACAGTAACAATAGGAAGCTGATTGTACAATACATATAGTATAATTATTTACTCATATTTTATTATTTTTACATAATTATGACATAAGTTTCCAGTATCTGTAAACTTCAACTAAAGTTTTTGTAATAGTTAAAGTATTGTTTTGTATTTCCTTACAATTGGGAAATTCTGTTTTGAATTTTCTGATCCCTTTTCTCTTCTTATCCTTGGAACTGTGACCCATAGCTTACCAGAAATAATTAGTCATGAAAGTTGGCCTTCATAAAGTTGATCATTACACAGGTAGATATGTTGTTTAAACTCAAACATCTTAAAATTCTATAGCTTCTGATGACAATTTGTCCTTCCTTTGTGAAATACAAAGAATTAATTGCCTATAGATAATGTGCTTACCTTAAAATTACACATAAAATACCTATTTCCTCTATCAAATCCCTGCAGAATTATAAAAATCAAGAACTACTTCAAGGTCCATAAACCTGAGATTTTTTTTTTCAAAATTTCATACCTTTCTTAGATTAAAAACACGACCCATTTCTCAGTTTCAAAACACATAAAGATTTTAGCATTATTGTGATATAAACCAAATCCACCCTTCTGTCATAGTTGGATGCACACAAAGCTTCTGGAATTGATGCTCAGCTCTTTAAAATGGGAACCAGAATAAAATAATTTCAGTGGATTATTTTCTCTGTAATTAGTTAAGAAAATATTTTCTCTCTGATGTTTTCACTGATTGATTGTTAATCCTTTGTTAAGCAGCAGTTCTTCCAAAAAGGCTTTTGTGAGAGAGGTGGCAAAACTTCTGGCAGAAGAGCTGTATCATTTTGTTGTTGAAAACATGCTATTGCTGCCTTCCTGGTAGAGAATGGCCAGAGTCATTTAAAAAAGGAGCATTTATGTTACCTTGTGCCGCAGTCCGGCTGGCTGCAGCAAAATAACGGGGGGGGGGACGAATAACTTGTGTACGTTGAAACAGCATGAGTAGGAGCCGTTTATTGCAGGACAGGAGCAGTATTTATACATTCCACACAGCTTATCTAATTAGCATAAACTAGATACATCAGTCAACCAATCAGGAATCTCTACACTTAATGGCTCCCTTTTGTTACTTCTCAAACCACTCCCTCTGGCATTTTGCCAGGCACCATCCAGACTTGTTTACAGACTCTAACAACCTTGCTAGAACGGAATCTAGTCCTTAGTGAAATAAATAAGGGTTTTGAAAGACTTCACTAAAAAATATCATTCTTTTATCCATTTAGAACACTATGACTGATATGGTTACAGCCCAACCATCTCTGCCCTGGGGACAGAAATGATTAGATTGGGGGGTCTTTGTCCAGAAGTCCATAACATATATTTGGGGGTGGGGGATGCAGAATGAAAGTACTAACCTACTTTGGGAAATTTAAGTAGACTTTTAGAGCATAGCTTGACATGGAAGAGTGATGCATTAGTTTACATCACTATAATTAAATACCTGTCACAAGCTATTTATGAAGGAGGGAGATTTATTTAGCTTACAGTGTTAGAAATTCAAATTCCAGGGTTAAGCTTCTCCTTTGTCCTGGCCTCTAGTGAGGGCAGCAGCACATCAGAGTGAGAGCATATTTCAGAGCAATCTTTTCTCAAGCTAATGGAGAGATAGAGATAGAGATAGAGAGAGATAGAGATAGATAGAGAGAGAGAGAGAGGAATGGTACCACACCATTTCTTTCAAAACATGTCCCTAATGAACTAAGTATCTCTCACTAGGACTAGATACATGTGCTTTGGGCATGTATCTTGCTTGGTTTTATCTGGGCTTCCTGGGTCTATGGTTTAGCGTCTAACATTAATTTGAAGAAATTCTCAGTTCATGGTAATTCAATATTTTGTCAGTTCTTTTTTTTAAAAATTTTTCTCCTTCTGATAATATTCTTTTTATACATATATTACTATTTTCTTAATGCCTCACAATTTTTGGATATACTACTCTATTTTTTATCAATCTTGAAATGTGTGTGTGTGTGTGTGTGTGTGTATCCTCAAACTCAGAGACTCATTCCTTAACAATGTCCTGTCTACAAATGAGTGCATTTTAATTTTTGTTGCCATTTTTATCTCTGTGATTTCTTTTAATTCTTAGAATGTTTATCTCTATACTTATATTGTCATTCTGTTCTTGCAGGTTTACTATGTTGTCCAAGAAAACTCTTAATATATTTATTAATCACAGTTGTTTTAAGTTCTGGGTATGATAATCACATATCTGAGTCTGGTCTGAGGCTTTCTCTGTCTCTGAAAACCGTTTTTATTATCTACCTTTGAGCATGTTTTGTGTTTCTTGGTAGCTGTGCCCAATTGCTAATGTGTTTGCAAGGTTCGAGGTCAGGAGAAGTGCTCCAAAGTTCTATGACTAGGTCCTAGCCTTTTTAGTGAGTCTGGGATTCTGGACTGTGGACTTGATATAAGCTTCTCAGCCCAACCCTCCTTCTCCAGGAAGACAATGTGGCTGAAGAGGGTAGGAATTGGGTAGCTCTTCCCCAGGTCAGGGAGAGCTGAAGAAACCCCAGTGGTTTAGAGTCTGATGAAATAGTTTCTCTTGACTACAAAGCTAGCTAAGGGCAGAATGCCCTGGCATATTTCACATGCTTCCTTTTGCCCATCTGCTGTCTGAAGTGAGCAGGCATTTTTCTCTACAGAGATTCTCATTGCCCTCCTGGAGGTAAAATTCACAGATGTGTGAGCACCCCCTGTGACCGAGCCCCCTGAGGTTTTGAAGATGAGAGTTGTCCACTCTCTACAGTTCACCAGCTAGAGTTCAGGCTCTCCAGATGCTTCCAGAGAGGTTTTATGCCTCTCCCTAGTCTGGTAAGTTGTGATTCTCTGCATTCACCTGTCTTCTATACAGTTTATTAGCAAAAGTCTCCCCTGTGACCTCACTTCTTGATTTTTCAGTTTGTCAGCTTTTCAGTTGTTAGCACACAGTGACAACATCATGGTTTGTCAAATGCTGAACTGACAACACTGCATATTTGCTTTTCAAGTGATGTGATAATTTGGTAATCCTAAAACCACTATTTGTGTATTCTTGATTTTAGTGAATAAATTACTATGGAAAACAAGGTTTCCAACTATTGAGGACAAGCTTAAAAGAAGGAAAGAAAGAAAGTTAGAATCTATTCTTTAGTATTGGATTAGGATTGTAAGTCTTATTGTAAACTCAGAATGTATGTGTATTATACATTAATATATCTAGATTGAGTCATAGGTAGAAATATGTTTGCATATATACACCTATTTTTTAGCTCTGTCCATTCAGATGGCCTAGAAGTTATAATACTCCAAATAATATAAGCCAATCCAACACCTAAATACTGATTTCTAAATACCAATTTCCATGAAAAGAACCCAGAACTCCTTGGCAATATGTCTCAATCAAGTGCTGAGACAGTGCTATGAGTTCAGTTGTATTATTTTCAAATTTATATGTTGTAGCACTAACTCCCAGAATCTCAGAATGTGGCTTTATTTGGAAATGTGATCATTGCAGAAGTGTTAATTAAGTTGAAGTAATTGGTGTGGTCCCTAATTCAGTGCGGTGATGTAAAATGGGAGTGGATGGAGACATGCATAAGGGGAAGAAGATTGAAGGCTACGGGTGGGAAGCAGCCTTCCAAGGCCTGAAACAGACCCTTCCTTATTGCTCTCAAGAGAAAACTCCCCTTGTGGCACCTTGATTTTGGAGTTCTAGCCTCCAGAACTCAGACAATAAATTTCTATTGCGTAACCCACCAAAACTATGGTACTTTTTAATTTAGAAAACTAACTGACAAGATTAGCACAAAAAGAATATGGATTATCATTGATTTATAGGAAGTAAAGAGATCTCAAAAAGAGATGGGAAGGTGTATATAAAAAATCAGGGCCATCTTGAATAGGGGAAAATTAAAATAACAACAAAACATTATTAATGGCAAAAAAATTGTATTCCACCAAATAAAATAAAATCTGGTCTATACTCCCCTGAACAAATAAATGACTAAATTAGTTGAAGAAACTTTTATCTATACAAGGATTCCAACTAGAAAATGTAGAAGAAATTATGATATTAGGATATCACTATTTGCTCCCAATTTCAACAATAAATTTTTCCAGGGAAGAATCATCAATGGATATTAAAATAAGGAGATGATATAATGGAAAAATACTATATTTACATAATCTCAAATCTCTCCCTACAGCACACATTAATCACAGAGAGATAAATTGTAGCTTTGCAATAGAAAAGTCTGGAAAACATCACCTTAACCAATCTGTCAAAGCTACATCACCATGAACAGGACAAATTGATAGGATTTGCCTCTGATATAATATGCCAAGAAAGAAGAAACATGAGTTAATGAGGTAAGGTGATAAGATGTTTGCATTTGTGGAATTCAGGTGACATGTGAAGGGAATTCTTCATACTTTTTTTGCAATTTTTATGGAAGTCTGATATTTTCAAAACATAAAAATTGTAAGAGTTTAGGTAAAAAGGATGGAGGAATGATGATTTTTCAGAATTTAATTTATTATTCTAAAATACATTTAATAAAAATAACCCATAGTTTTACACATTCTACATAAGTAGACTATTTACAAATTCACTTCTATAGCTTTTACTTAATGGTTACTATTTTCCCATGATTTGCCTTTTTGATGGCTTCCTTCAGTAGTAAAATCATATCCAGTGTTCCTTGTAAATAAAACATTAGCTGCTGGGGCAATCCTCCTTGTTCCAAGTCCTCTGATTTTTTTCCACTTTGTTGCCATAAGTAGATTTGATTGCTCACTTACTGTTTCCACTGGAAAGTTTGGTCTGGGTAGCTGACATCCAGATGCTGAGGATATGCTTTGTGTGGTGTTTTGTTTGAATCAGAAGACAGGTGGTGACTGTGCAGTAAGTTCTTGGCAAAAATTATTGTCAAGTAGATACGATGAATCCAGAAGGAGACATGGTCCTAAGAAGCAAGATAATAAGTGGTGTTGACACATGTGAAATCTGTTCTTATTCAACAGGAATAACAATTACTTTTAGCAAGAGGAAAAACTAAAGACAATGTTTTGCATATTAAAATAGCAAGTTCAGGATCGTCTTAAAATTTAATTAAAATTATTTTAGAATTTGTTCTTTCATAAGAATGAATTAAAACTTGTCTTATCTAGGTTAAGGAAAAAAAATAGATTATCACAGACACAGTTCTAAAAAGGAGCACAATTGGGTAGTATGATATACTAATGCTATAGCTTGGACTAGTGTCCTCCAAAGGCCCATGTGGTCAGCACGCTGTGGCACTGTTGGGAATGGTAGATCTGTAACAGGTGGGAGGAAGATAGGTCACTGGGGCCTGTGCTTTAAGAGGATATTGAGGACAGCTCCCTCCTCACTCTCTTGCTTCCCAACTGCCATGATCTGGTCAGGCCTCTTCTGCCATCTGTTACTCCCATGATGTGCTGGGCCACCACAAGCCCAAAGCAACAGGACCAAGCAACCAGGCACTGAAACTGCTGAACTGTGAATCAAAATAACCCTTTCCTCTTTATAAGTTGATTATCGCATGCATTTTGTCACAGCAAGTTTTTAGCAGTGGTGGCAGGTGGAGGGCCGTCTGCATTTCCATCTGGATGGGAACCAGCTGAGTCAGTGCTCTGGGGATGTGTACTCTGATACTACCAGAATCAATGGGTCTTTAAAATGTGCTACTTTGTAAATAAGTGTCTGGATAGACATTCTTTAAATTGTTATTTTCTTTTGTTCATGTCACTACTATCCATGCACAGTTATAAAAAAGCTAGATATTTTCTTTTCTCACTGAAACCTGTGTTGATTACTTTGCTTCATTCAATGTAGCCTAGAGTCATCCCCTCCCTAGTTATAACTATATTGTTACAAAATTATTTAATTTCTTGCTTTATCATGTTTATTAAATATCCCTAGAAGTTTGATTATTATTTTTATGGATTCATCACAGTCTTGCTAATAACAGCCTTTTACCAAATACATAGTGAACCCTGTGAGGATTTCCAAGTCCCCTTGTGCCTAGTTTTACTCTAGATGCTAAACTCTTCAGGGATCAATCATATATTTATCTATACTGTGAAATGAGGAAGGTGCGAAGGGAGAAGCACCCTCTTCCACTTCTGCAGTTTCCTGAGCAAATTAGCCGATGGTTTCTGAAGCTGTTCACTCCACTGTGAACCATAAAACACCTGTGGAGCTAGTCACATAGCCTCAAAAAAAAAAAAAAAAAAAAAAAAAAAATCGAGCGATGGGTTTATTGTGTTCCTTTGGTGTCTTATTTGTAGGGCCAGGCTGTGTAAAAGGAGCTGAGATAGATTTTCTTCTTCCCTGCTGCTCCTTTCAGACCCATAAACAAAGCCTGTCCTTATTGATCTACTGCCTGCATCCCTGGAGCCACCGTTTGGATCTATAATTCCTTTAAAACTATCCTCAGCTACCCAGGTCTATTCCCTCTTTCTTCTCTTACCCTTCGGATATGTAGATTTAGCAGAGGAGTGCCTTTAATAGTTTTATCGTTTATTTTTAGAATAAAAATGCAACAGTAGCAGCCACAGAACCTTTGAGAGACCCCCGACGGGCACCTGCGCAGGCTTCCAGGGTCGCTGAGGTTCCTTGTCCTGTGCTGAGCCTGGGATACTCTGCCTCGTGTGGGGCGACACAGTAACTCCCCACGCCCACAGACGCCAGCCTTAGCTCTTTGAGAGTCCTTGCTTCTATTATTTTATCCGACCTTACAGTATTTTGATCTCTGAAGAAGAACAGCGAGAGAAAGTCCCGAGCTTCTAGACGGAGAGCACCTGTTCCGAGGGCCCCGTGGGCTCAGGCCAGGCCTCTCCCTTGGCCTCGCGCGCCCCCTGCCGCCGGCCTCAGGCATTGCAGAGCTCAGCAGGGCGAGTGCGTGTTCCTATTCTGGGAACTCACACTCTGTGAACCAGAAGACAAGGTTTCCTCTCCCTAACATCACGAAAACAGGTCTGGTTTTAATTTCCTCATTTTTGGAGTGAGGAGAATATTTGTTTCATGAGCAGATGCTCTGTGATCTTAATGGGAAGTGGGAGATATTAGATTCCACGTTCTAGTTCTGGAGTTTGTAATCTAGCAAGGAACATGAGGTAGGTGGTCTAAAAGCAAACACCACGGGACAGGCAGTTGTCATCAGCAGCCTTAACAGGAGCAAGACCCTCCCTTCTAACAGTCTTATCTTTGACTCTCTAGATTAGCTGGAGAAGCACAGGATAATTTAGTTCAACAGACAAGGATGATGCTCGCGGTAACATGCATGCTTCGGGCGTGTGAGGCCCTGTGTTCCATCCAAAACATTTGGGTTTTTTTGTTTGACAATAATTTTATTTTTAAATTTAAGGTAGTTATCAGACAATCTTAAAATGCCAAAGACAATAAATTATGTAAAAAGTGATTTAATACATGGAGTCTTTTTCATATTATTCTTTTTCCAATCTCTTCATTAGCTTCCCTTTCTAATCATCATAACCATTGCCTTCCTAGAATAAAAATTTTGTTGGCAAGGCAATCTGATTTTTTCAGGAAATCTTCTCCTCCCATTTTCTTGTTGATGCATAGCATCAAATATCAAGTCTTTCAGCAAGTCTTCTGCTACCTTCTGCACTTGGTACATGTTGTAGTTTAATTTCTGTGAGTACTCCTGTAATATCTATATTTATGTAATTTCAAACATTAAAATAAGAGAATCTAGGTCATTCCAAAAGCAAAAAAATATAGTATCATGTGTTAATTATACCTCCCCAATATATGTCCACATCTTAAACCCAAAACCTATAAATATGACATCTTTTGGAAAAATTGCAGATAAAATTCAGTTAAAGTTCTCATTATGAGATCATTGTGGAGTAGGTAGGTCCCTAAATTAACTGACAGCTGTCAGTTAATAAGAGAGGGGCACCTTGAGTTCCCAGAAGTCCCCAGAGAGAAGGGATTTTTTCCCCCTCTAGAGCCTTAGGAGGGAGCCTTAGGGAGCTCTATTGGAGTTGTGATGTCAGACTTTCAGCCTCTAAAACTGTGAAAGAACAAACCATTCTTGTAAGGCATTCAATTTGTTATCATTTGTTATGGCAACTCTAGGAAAAGAGTACTGAGGATATTCTGGGATTATAACAGGCAGAAAAACCTGGCTAGGTTGGAAAGGGGTGAATGAGCAGAGAAATCTTGTTAACATATAGGAAAACTGGAAACACAGAATAAATCTTCCTGCCTCTGACATTTATGCCCATCCTTCCTTCTTTTCTCCTGTTTAAGATGTTATTATCTCTAGGTATAGTTCTTATCCCATATTTTATTAATGACTTCACAGTTACTAGTATCCTCTGTCTTCTTTATTTTTTTCCTCTTTATAGTTTTTTTTTCCTGTTAGCATGCAAACATAGGCAGGTGAATTCAATTTAAAACATAAATGGAAAACGAAGCTGAATGAGATGTCTTAATAATATGTGACAGTCAAGCTGCACAATGACAATTCAGTAAGTGGTGGCCTGCATCTATCATGGTGACTCCATAGATTACAATAAAGCTGAAAAATTCCTGTCAATCAGTGGCATCATAATGTAATGCAATCACAAATGTGTGTATTAGTCAGCTTTCCCTCACTGTGACAAAATAGCTGAGATAATCAAATCATAGGGAGGAAAGGTTTACTTTGCTTATGGGTTCCTCCTGTATAGTCATCACATCCTGTACCTCTTCTGCATTTTCCCTGTTTGCCTTATGAAATAGCAAACCCTTTTGCAAACTGGTTTTCACTGCTGGCAATTGCTTACTATGCTATTTCTGTTTATTATGCCAATTAACATTGCAGATGTCATAATAGGAAGTATTTACTTTAATGACGTAGATCATTTTCATTGATTATTGTTATTATTTGACTCCTTTTAAACTGTGGTACTAGAAAACTTTAGGGCTGCTGTAAGTTCATAGGATAGAAGCTCTCCTGCCCCAGGTTCATACTGATAAATGGGTAGATATACAAATAATAGGAAAAAGCAAGGGAACAAACCATACTAAACAACCCAAAATACCTCATAACAGACTCCATTGGTACCATAGTGGAGGAAATGCCAGAGAAGGGGAATTTAGAAAGTTCATAGTTAAACTAATCTGCAAAAATACAGGATGATGTAAGGAGTGAAATCTGAGAGAAAATATGGGAAGTGAAAGATTATTTCAATAAAAAATACAGATTTTGAAAAAGAACAAAATGGAAATCCTTGAAATGAAGGTACCAATAAACCCAATTAAAAATTCAATGGAATGCATGACTAATGAATTAGATCACTTGGACAATAGACTTTCAGGAAACAAAGACAA